TAATTTTTACTTATTATCAGCAAAGTAACAGCATTTCAAAACTAAAAAAAAGCAGTGTCTGCCCTTAAAAATTAGAAAATATCACTGACAAAATCAAAACTTTCAGTGTAATCAGGTTTAAAAGTTGTCAACTGATAAAATAAATCTCATAAATCTTTTTGTTGAAAATAAGCTTTTTGTTCCACTACCAAATACAAAATAATATAAATTTATATAAATAAATAATAAATTTCTCACCATAGTATAAAACTTATATAAACATGTCAAATTATATTCACACATACGGTAGCGGTGTAGAGGTAGGGTGCTCACCTCATAAGCAAGAAGTTCAGAGTTTGATCCCCACCACTTCTCCAGTAGTACCATGCTCAACTTGTTTCTCTTTGCTTGTTTGGAAGTGAAGTGGAGCACCAAAATGATAATGATTCTATCAGGAACAGTTTTGAGGATCTGTTTCAATAAATGTATCATGTTTATATAAAGTTAAGAATGAAATTTGTTTTAAAAGTTGTTCATTACCAGATCTGGACAGAAATTGCCCCCACCTTTTTTATTTCCACCCTACCTTCAATTAAACACCTTCAGTTAAAAACTAGTCATCGGAATGACACCTTAATAAAATAAACAAACAACAAAAAGTAATAATAAAATTAGTAAACTTAAAAAAAAATCAATAAAAAAAAGAGGTGAGATGGTAAAAATAATGAGATAACATGTTTAATGAGGTATTATCAGAAACATGATAAAATAGAAAATAAAAAATAAAACAAAAGGATGAATAAAATAAAAAACTAAAAAAACAATATTAAGATTAGACAAAAAACCTTGAAATCACTCAAATATCAGCAACAAATATAAAAAGTATGTTAAAGCAAATATAGTAAAACAAATATAAACAACAATAAATATAAATAGCAACAATACCGCAAAAAATACACCACAAAAATACATCCCAATATATACAATGCACAAAAATACATGACAGTATAAACAATACTCAGAAATATATGACAATATAAAAAATATATTGAAATGCATTCTAATATAACCAATTCACAAAAATACAATACAGTATATACAATATGTAGAGATAATATAAACAATAATAATATAGTAATATATGTATAGTAATATATATATATATATATATATATATATATATATATATATATATATATATATATATATATATATATATATATATATATATATATATATATATATATATATATATATATATATATATATAAACAATAACAATATAGTAATAACAATATAAACAATCTAAAAACCATAAATTAATAAAACTTAAAAAGCCATTCTTTTTGTTTTCTTTTAATAATGTATAACATATGTAACAGAGCTGGTCCCTGCCCCAGCTAGTTATGGAATTTTTGACAATTTTGGCCCAGCTATACAATATTTTTAGCTAGGGTTATTTGGCATAGGCATTAATAGGCATAGGTAAGGAGTCTTAAAAAAAAAGTACTGATTCCGACTCCAGTTGTTGAAATTTTTTGAGTACGACTCCAGCTCCAATTTTAAAGTGAAATTTTTAAAAAATATTATGCAATAAGTTAAAAAAAATTTTTTTGACAAATTTTCAAAATTTTCTTTGAGGTTTAGTATGAATATAATGTTAATTGAATTTTTTATACATGCACGTGCAATACCGAGAAGTTTTATTATTGGAGTGGGAGTCACGATTTTGTTTAGCGACTCCGACTCCACTAAAAATTTCACAACTCCGCGACTCTGACTCCTCAGCCCTGGTTATTAGGATATATTGTATAATATATTATATATTTGCTTTTATTAAAATCTATTTAAATATAAATATCAACATGATTGGTTTAAATATAGAAATTTTTAAATTTAACTTTCTCAACTAAAGACTAATCATTTCTAACATTTTTTTCAAATAATTATTTTTTCTACATAATTATTTCATAGCTATCATAATTAGTATATTTATTATAAATAGTTTGCACATAATTTGGTGCAGTTTAGTTCAGAGTGATATTTTTTGATGATATTTTGTAGTGGTATTTAGGTTAAGTATAATAAGTATGTATTATAAAATAAAGGCAATAGAGTTAGTTAAGGTGGAGTTATGAGACAAGTGGTTCTTTGAAACATGGTTATGAGGCAGATGGTTCATTGAGATATGGCTATGAGATGAATGGTTCTTTGAGACATGCTTATGAGACAGATGGTTCTTTGATTATTGTTAAAATTAAAAATAATAGTTCTATATATTTAAAAAAAAATTTAATTTGTATTTTTGTAAATTTAATTGTTGCTTACTTGTTATTGGTTTTAAGTCATTTATTTTATTATTTATTTTTCTTTTAAGATCATTGAATAGTTTTTACTAGTTTTATTTTGTTGAACAATCTTTAATTTTTTTTTAGAAATTAACTGAATGAACTTTTAGTATTATTTCTTAAGTAGATCCTGAGATAACATAGCCGAAACTATGATATCTCAGGATCTACTTAAGAAATAATAACAGTTATTCCGATGGTTTAAAAATTATTTACAGCTGTATTAAAATACTAAATCTTGAGATGTGGAATAAATTAATCAAGTTGGCACAGCATGCTCCCTATTTAGCAATTGCTGTTTGTATAGCACAGTGGACCCAGGTTTAAAAATAGAAAAAAGTTTTTTTCAAATAAGACTAAAAAAATTAGACTCAAAACTTTTGTGGATAAAACTTTTCTAAGTGATGACTTGTAAATTTGAAGTTGTGAATTTTCAAATTTTTTACCTATAAAAAATGAGTAACTTTAAATGGTTTTCATTTAAAATAAGTTTACCACCAAAATAGCTTATGTAAAAGTTGTTTTAAACTTGATATTGAATATATTTTCGAATAATTTAATTAAACATTTGTAAAAGTTTTGATATATGTTCTATATATAAATAAATTTTATGTAATTTTTTTTGGAGTTGTTTTAACTAAAGTAAGTAACTTTGTTAAAAATATTTAACAATTCATCTTTTAAAATATTCTAAGAGCAACTCAGGCAAGTTAGTACTTTGTTTTAACATTTTAAAAAAGTGAAACAGTAAATCTTTTTTTCATGAAAATATTAAAAATGTACATCACAGAACTGTGTGCTTGAAGACAAAGAAAACCTTACAATTCAAAACTTGGTGATAAGATGAAGGAGGAAGGAACACAGAAACTTGTCAATAATTTAAACAACTTTATCAATAATTAGTATCTGGATTTAAGCGTTAACCAGTGGAGTTATATATTTTTATATAGTTTTATTTGAGTTATATAATTTTATTTTTATTTATTTTTTTATATATTTTTATTTATTTTTTTATATTTTTATAGGTAATATAAAAATAAAAAGAATATTGCTCATGTTAAAACTTTTTACAAATCATATAAAAACAATAGATACCTTTGGAATAGATGAATTAATAGCTTTAATGCATTCCCTTATGCTAAGTAAAAGCAAATGAGAAAATTAAAATTTCTGTTTTCTTTAAAAGGATCCTTTTTTCCAACAACCAAAGATTTCTCTCATGTTTTGGATGGTGTTTCGGTTCAATACAAATAATTTGTAAGCATGAAAAATAATTCTGTATTGAATATAAATAAAGATATTGGCTCACCAAGTGGTCCTATTTTTTCAACCCAAATTCTACTATCTATATGACACTTATACAGTAGTTTTTTAAATCAGGTCCCAGTTCCTTTATATATTAATGAGTAACATTTATGCTTTTTTGATCATATTTGTTGTATTTTAGTTAGTCCTTTTCATGTGGCAACAAATTTATTAAAAAGTTTCCACTTTTAGTAGGAATGATTTAATCGTCATTAACTTGTTTTTTCTGATGATTAGAAATCCTTCATGAATTCTCTTACTATTCAGTAGTAATTTTTGTTTTGGAAAATATATAATTTGCATCTCCCAGTTCACTGATGAGTTGTTCAAGTTTTAAATCTTTAATTTCATCTTAAATAAAAAATTTAACATTCAGAAAATTTTTGCCGAACAGAAAACGCATCTCTTTAGCATTTAATTTTTCTTGCAAATTATCTGTAGTTAGAGCAATAAGATAATAATAATATATTACTGTGCTGTTTAATGATCGAGCAATATGGTAGCTGGATCATTAATGTGGTAGCCGGATCATTAATGTGGTAGCTGGATCATTAAACACCCAGATCAAGCATAAAAGTTTTTTTTCAGGCTTCCTAAAAAAAAAAAGTTATATTTATTTAAAAAAAATTTCAACTTAAGTTTCTATTTCCTAAATTATCACCAATAATTTAAAAAGTATTTAAAGTATGTTTTAGTTATATTTTTAGTTATATTTATATTTATTGTGTTATTTAATTATTATTAATTATTATTATTTATTTTATTTATTGTATTTTATAAATAAAATTAGAGTAAGTGTTCTATAAACCAAATTCCAACTTACATGTTAATTGTATCACTAGACAGATTCTGTTGATTAACGTTTAATATTTAGATTTTTTTTTTTTTTTTGCTTTGTTATTTTGCTAAATGAGAGTTTCGAAATTAAATGACCAACTTTATTGCAATGCCCTCTGACTATTATAAAGCCTGAAAACAAAAATGTTATTTTGTGTTTTCTATTCTGTAATTTAAATAATTGACATAATGCAAAAATATTTCTCAGAATTTGTGTATTAATTTTAAATTAATATTTTTTTTTTTGTTAAATTAATTTTTAATGTAATTAGGTTGTATATTATCAATATATAACCTAATTACTAATGTTCATAGTTATAAGAACTGTTTAAAATTTAAGAATATTAAACATATATAATATAAATAATAATATGATACTAAAAATAATATTAAAATAAAAAAAATCAAATCATAATTTTATCTGAATTTTAAAGTTTTTAGGATTTTTTATTTATTTAATTAAACTTAATTTAATTAAGGCTCATCAATACAACTAATGTACAAGTAATGAAACTTATCTTACTTAACTAGGTGGTTAGGGAGCTTAAGTCAATGAAAGGCACTCCAGCAGAAAAACAGAAAATAATCCAGATGCTTATGACTGAAAAAAAAGAAAATGAAGATTTTTTAAATAGTGATGTTTCACAACGTTTAGAAGACGTCTGCTTAAATGACACAGATCGTCTTTGGGACAGATTAACAGAAGATGAGAAACATATATTTTTAAAAAAAATACATAGTGGTAACGTTAATTTTCTCTCTGATTGGCAACCATGGTGGGAAGTTGAAAGGTAAAAAAGTGTTGTATTTTATTTAAAAAAATTTTTGATTCAAGTTCAAAGTTTAAAACATTCTTTTTACTGAAAAAATTTAAATTTAATTTTACAATGAATACAAATATTGTTTGAAAAACAAGGTAAAAAATAGCTAAAAAAAAAATAGTGAAAAAATGTTTGTTTTCTTACCGATCCGACTTATAATTAAATGTGTAAAATCAACTTAAAAAATTTCAACAATTTTTAAAGTTTATCATTTATCAAAATTTATGGAAGTAATATATATGAAATATATGGAAGTAATATAGAATGAGTCAAAAATAGTCAAAATTTATGAAAGTATAAAGTAATATATATGAAATATATGGAAGTGTATGTGAAATATATAGAATGAGTATAAAAAGCATTTTTTTTATAAAAACAAAAATTCATATTCAATTTTTTAGAAAAAAAATTAGCAATGTGAAAAAAATTGCAACAAAAATTAGCAATTATCAAAGCAATGCAGTAGGCGAATCTTAGGGTAATTAGAAACATATAAGTCAAGCAATCTTTTAGTTTTATTTTTTACCTTGTTTTTCAAACAAAATTTGTATTCGCAGTGAAATTAAATTGAAATTTTTTGTAATAGTTTAATTTAATATGTCTGAAATAACAAAATTATACTTATAATATAAAATCTTTGTTGTGTTTGTTTTTATTACTTATATTTTAGTTAAACTTTTAGTAGTGCTATAATACACACTAGTTTGTTAATGACACATCTGATGATCAAAGTCTTACTTTTACTTTCATTTACTTTGTTTAATAAGTAAAGTTAATAAGAATACAATTTTCCGTTGTTATACAAACAAACAAAAAATAGTCAAATCATTTGATTGCATTAGAAAAATCAAATTGTTCTTCTTTTTTTTGCACAATGGTACATAAACATTTTAAAGTTAAAAACAATTCAGTGGTAGCCAAATTGCTGAATCAGTAGTCTGGAATTATCAGAATGAAAACTACATTTTACTAAATTTAAATGACCTCTTAAATCAAGAGCCATAGTTTGACACCCACAATTGGAACAAACATGATTGTCACTTATTTTGTTTGTATTTTTTTTTTGCTTATTTTGTTTTGTTTATTTTTTATTTTTATATATATTAATTATATATTTTTTATTTGTGTTCAAACATTTAAACTGTTTTTAACACTTTTCAGTCAGTTTAAGTACATAATACAACTTTAGTTAGATAAAGAAGAAAAACAATAAAAAGAATGTAATATAGGTAAAAAAATAAACAATTATGTTTAAAATTTGCTTATTTTATATGTACTTTTACGCATTTAGTTGTATTATTTTCAATCAAATGTTTGTTCCATATATAAGTGTTGAATCATGGCTATTGATTTAAGAGGTAATGGTAAGATATTTATCATTTGAATATATTTATTAACTAAATTTACCAGCTATTTAAATTAGGGTCGATATTTGGTAAAAACCTAAAAGTGTTTGAGGTTGGCAAATAATTACTGATCTCATTTCTATGTTTTATAGTAAACCCTTTGTGTCAAATTTTTTAGACGAACTGATACCAACCTCTAACTGGTTAAGGTCAACAATTTTTTGCCACCTCATTTTACCTAATTCTGAGGGCTGATATACATTTTACTAAATTTAAATTGTTTAGTTGACTATATTATTTATTCTAAAGTAATATATATTATGTATATATGGTATATTATGTTCTAAGAAATAAAATTTTATTTTTTGCTTTGACAACTAAAAAAAGTTTAAAAAAAAAATACAAAAATATGCATCAATGGACTAGACTGAGCTGTCAAGCCCAAGTGAAATAAAGAAATTTGAGGAAGAAAGAAAGGATTAATTAATTAAAAATATATATTGAACAGATGTTGAGAACAAAAACAAAGATACTATATTAAAGCGTGTAGTAAAAAATATAAATAATAGTTTAGACACCACACATGTAAAAGAAATGTAATAAAAACAAAACACAAACATAAGTAACCATAAATCTACAGTAAGTACAAATGTTTAACATTTTTAAAATAAAAATACATATGTATAGATATATCAGTATATAAAATGAATAAATATAAGTTCATAGGAGGTATAAGATAAAGAAAAAAATTATTTCTTTTGTGTAATCATAATATATGTAGTGTTGGTAATAAAATTCTCCTCAGAATCACGTTTATTGTTATCTGCATTTCGAAAAGGCTCAGCGTCAATACCTAGTTTATCCCATTAGATAAACATTGCTATTTATGCTTTACCCCGCGATTTACACCTACTCCATACTGCAGTAAAAAGGACTTCATTAAAAAGCAGCCAAAATCCTAACCTTACCCAAATTTGTAAAGCACTAGTATTTTTGAAGAATTAATATGGATATTGAGAGTAGTGAATTCAATACCAAATAATGTAACAAATTTAAAATAAAAAGAAATATATATAAGATAAATATAATAAAAAATAATATATAAATAAAGTTTTTAAACAAAAATAACAAGTTTTAATTGCATAAAATTATATAAAAAAAATTATTATGGTTAAACTTTTGTAAAATCTAAAGGTGCCATTCTTATGGTATCTTCTGATACCATGAGAGTGGCATCTGAAAATTCCAAGAGAATGGAAAATGAACATGACATGAAAATGGAATCTGAAGATTCACTGTGAATAGCATATTAATTTACCATGAGAATGACAAAAAGTTTAAAAAGTTTACTTTTTGGGGGGAAATGGATACACAGAAAAGAATGGTTTAGTTATTCAAATATTGTGTTAGCTTTGTGCAAAGATCAAATTAAGGAACCTTCAATTTAAATAACTGTGATGAAATTTTAAAAAGCATTTACAGAGGGAGCTAGTGTGGAGTATTTCCATGCCAAATCATAGATGAAATAAAAAAATCTCATCACAAATCTCCAACTTAGCTGATTTTTATACAGTTAATAGAGCTTAGTAAAATTCCCTCAAAATTTTAGTCTTTAATAGTATTTTACATTCTATAATTTGTTAAAATATAAAATAGTTTGAAACATGGCCTTCTATAGTTACATGGCCTGGTTTGTTGGCTTTTACAGAAAAAAATTAAGAGGCCAATTTTATTTGTAATAAACGATACTTTAAATGTTGTAATAAATGATATCTTTAAACAGAAGGCTTTGAAGATTTTCTTGTTATATATAATATTTTTTGATTATTTATGAATATTATTATGAGTTTAATTATGATAATTATGATTTTATTATGAGTTTAATTATTATGAGTTTAACTATTGATGAGCTTATTAATTTTAATGCTTTAAATAAGATTTTAATTAATTAATAATATAAATACAATATTTAAATTAGATACATTTATAACTTGTTTATGCTCTTGAGATATGATTATTTTTATTGTGCTTCAAAAAAATAAGAATTAATTTTATTTTCATACTTAGAATTTTTAATGCAATGCCAAACAAGTGTACAGTGTTATTACTTGAATAACTCGTTGTTACTTGAAAAATAACTCGTTATTACTTGAATAACGAGGGTATATATAGCCCCTAGAAATATTATATTTTATTATAAAGAATTTTATATGGATAAGTTTATATACTATAACAGATGTTTTAACTTAATTAAATTATATAAAAACTTTTCGAAGACGTTTAAAAATTAAAGTGTACAGTGATATACTCTTACAGTAAATACAAAAGTAAATCATCAAATACAAATGTGAATCCTCTAAAATTGACTTCAGAACCAACTATTTATAACAAAGAAAATAGTGTTTTTGCGTTTCCTGATGCTGTAAAAAACCTGAATTAAGAAATGAATTAAGTTTGTTAATTTAAAAAATTAGTTTCCTACAGATCATTTAGGTGTTCATTGTAGTAACATTCAATATTGTAACATTTTGATCCAAATGCACGAATGACTTTTATTTATGATCTTAATCTAATACCGACTATTTATTCAGATGATGCAATAAAAAAAAAATTTTTATTGCATTATTTGAATAAATAGTCGGTACCACTTTTTCTGTTATTATCTATTCAAAATGATAAAAATATAATAGGAACAAATTTGAAAATTTCTAACTTAGCAGGCTTGGTCGGGAAGCGGGAGCGATCGCTCTCGATTGCTGACCACGTAAATAATATTTAGTTGCGAAAAGCTGGCCCGATTTTTTAGCCGTTTTGAGAACATTTTAAAAAGCAAAAAAAAAAAAAAGCGACTAAGATTAATTGGACCGATGAGAGACAGTTACAAACAAACAAAAAAAAAAAAATAGGCAAATAAAATATCTTTAAACGCAAAAAAACTTAAAGCTAAATAAATTACATTTAGAACAAATATTTTCGAAACATTGCTCTTTTACAATTTTTTTTATAAAATTAAGTAACAACTTACGATTAATTAAAAGGGAAACAAATATTCTTTATTTAACTAAGTTTGCAAGTTTTAGTTTTACTTAAGCTTAATTTATTTTATAAATAAAAAAGTTAATTTTTTTAATACCTATTTTATGTTTTGCGTAGTTTGAAAAGTTTAACATATTTAAAGCGATTCTTCTTAGTAAGATAAACAAATGAAATAATTAAATCATTGAATTACTATAGGAATTAAATTATCATGATAGAAATCAACTAAAAAGGTTAAAAATACTTAATGATCAGGAAGCGAAACTGCTTTACAATATCGCTGATGATGTTTAGTGAGTGGGCTTTTAAATTTTAATTAGTATTTAAAGCAGCAAAAAGTATAACGAGTTTTAAGAATGGCAATTTAAGCGAAAATAATTAGAGTTAGTAAACCTATATCTAGAAACTTTTCTTTAAATCTAATTATTTGCTATATATATTTGTGTTCTATTGTGACCTCACGCGCGATGCTTGTTTATCCGCGACTTACTTTGTATGCTTTGTTTGTGTTTAGTAACCAGAAACTTCTTATATGTTTGTTACATAATTAGTTTTATTATTATAACTTCATTGAAAACGCAATTATTT